TATCTCTGCTTCAGACTGCTGCCCGGTCTGCCTGGTGAGGGGGCAGCAGCTCTCGCCAGGCATCCCCAGCCCTCCACCTTCTCCACTGCTCCAGCGGCAGGAGCAGGGCAAAGGCCAGACCCTGGTAGCTTGAGGAGAAGTGGGGTTTAATCCTCCCACTGCAGGGGGGAGGGAAGGGGGGCAACACAGGCACTGATAGGCTTTGCTTATGCACTTGGGGCTGTGGTGGCCAGACACCAGTAGCCTGGGGGGAAGGGCGGGGTGGGGGAGTTATATTCCCCCATTGCAGGCAGCAGTGGCGCAGGTACCAACTTGATGCCCTGGGCTGAGTCTCTCTGAGGAGCAGCCAGCCGGCTGCAGGGAGGGAGGGAGGGTGTGACCTGGCTGGAAGCTGGGGCTAGTTATACTGCCTCCCACTGTGGCAGTGCGGCCTGGGCTGGGGTGGCCCCTGGGGGCAGTTCCCACCACCTCTCACCTTCAGCCCTGCGCAGGGGCTGTGGTTTGCAGGCAGGCTGCAGCTGCAACGCAGCTCCCTGCCCCCTCCCTCTCCCAGAGGCAGCAGCAGAGCAAACTAGTGTGGCAGGCAGAGGTGAAGCATGTCACCTGCTACCTGCTCACAGCAGCACCGGGCACTCAGGGCAGGCTGCTGTGGGCCAGAGATGTAGGCGGCAGTGGGGGGAGCCAATGGATTGTAGCAGCCCAGTCCAGCCCGGCCCCATGGCCCAGGAGTGCAGCCCAGTCCAGCCCAGGGGCGTAGGCAGCAACTGGCCTGCAGAAGCCCGCCCCTCCCTCTCTCAGCAATGGTGGCGGAGAAAACCATCCCAGCAGTCAGAGGTGAGGCACCTGTCATCCACCACCTGCTCATGTAGGCGCTAGGTGTTCAGGGCAGGCTGCTGCAGGCCAGTCACCCCCTACGTCCCTGGGCCAGCCTGGACCTGGCTGTGGTTGTCCACTGCCTCCCCCTGCTGCTGCCCATGTCCCTGGCCCACGGCAGCCTGCCCCGAGCGCCTGGCCTCAGCTTGAGCGGGCAGTAGGCGACAGATGCTTCACCTCTGTCCACCATGATAATATGCTCCGCCACTGGCAGGAGAGGAAGGGGGCGGGGAACTGCACTGCAGCTGCAGTCCGCCTGCAAACCATGGCCCCCTTGCAGGGCTGGAGGTGGCAGGTGGCAACCCCTGCCCCCTGGGGTTGCCCCAGCCCAGGCCGTGCTGCAACAGTGAGAGGCAGTGGCAAGTTGGGCTCTTACCTAACCCCAGCTCCTCCCCACCCCCTGCAGCCAGGTCACATCCCCACAACCCTCCCCCTCCCCTTGGGCAGCTGGCCACTCCTCGGAGGGACTTGG